ATCAATAACCTCAGATATGCAGATGACACCACCCTTATGGCAGAAAGTGAAGAAGAACTAAAGAGCCTCTTGATGAAAGTGAAAGAGGAGAGTGAAAAAGTTGGCTTAAAGCTCAACATTCAGAAAACTAAGATCATGGCATCTGGTCCCATCACTTCATGGGAAATAGATGGGGAAACAGTGGTAACAGTGGCTGACTTCATCTTTCTGGGCTCCAAAATCACTGCAGATGGTGATTGCAGCCTTGAAATTAAAAGACACTTACTCCTTAGAAGAAAAGGTATGACCAACCTAGACAGCATATTAGAAAGCAGACACATTACTTTGCCAACAAAGGTCCATCTAGTGAAGGCTATGGTTTTTCCAGTAGTCATGTATGGATGTGAGAGTTGGACTATTAAGAAAGCTGAGCACCGAAGAATTGATGCTTTTGAACTGTGGTGTTGGAGAAGACTCTTGAGAGTCCTTTGGACTGCAAGGAGATCCAACGAGTCCATTCTAAAGGAGATAAGTCCTGGGTGTTCATTGGAAGGACTAATGTTGAAGCTGGAACTCCAATACTTTGGCCACCTAATGTGAAGAGCTGACTCACTTGAAAATACCCTGACGATGGGAACGATTTAGGGCAGTAGGAGAAGGGGACGACAGAGGATGAGATGGTTGGATGGCATCACCAACTCAATGGACATGGGTTTGGGTGGACTCCGGGAGTTGGTGATGGGTAGGGAGACTTGGCGTGCTGCGGTTCATGGGGTAGCAGAGAGTTGGACACTGCTGAGTGACTGAACTGGGACTGATACATATATCCACTCTTTTTTAGATTCTTTTCCCTTTTCAGTCCTTATGGAGCATTGAGTAGATTTCCCTGTGCCATACATCAAGTTCTTATTAGTTATCTATTTTAAATATCATAGTGTGTACACATCAAGATCCCCATGCCCTTTCTCTGAAAGTAAATTATAAGCTGCAATAATGAAAGAAAATATCTCCAGCTAAGTCTCTCTTTGTTAGAAATTATGCTGGACTAGTTTCTATATTTCTACTAGATAAGAGAAAGCCAAAATAAATATATAAATAGAATTGCCCTTCTGAATAACAAATGAGCTAAAAATTTTATACTAGGAAGTCACTGATAAGTCTAGTTTCTATGCTATTGAACATAATAAAAAAGGTCAATATACCTTCCCCTTAGAACAATTGTCCAGTCATGGCCACAGAGCTTGGCTGTGAACTGTGGACAAAGGCTTTTGTCTCCAAACCCATGATCCCATGAGACATGCCAGCTTCAGACAAAAAACTAACACCTTTAGCAGAGGGTAGAAAGAAATGTAAATAATAGCTGAATATTACTTGATGTTGTCTTGGAAAGGATAGAAAATAAAAGGATAATAAAAACTTTTTGCCTGAAAACTCTTGATTCCTTCAGTAATGCCTGAGAAGATGTCATATCATTTTCATTTATCTGATCCATGAAACTCATCAAAATAATTCATTCCAAGTCTGTTCATCCCCAAAACTTCAGCAAAATAACAGCTGATGGATTATAAAATGGCAAAGGAAATATAATGCCACAAAGGTAAAGAGAATGGAAGATTGACAAGAAGAAAGAGAATTTGAAATTTTGACAAGAAGATAAGATTTGGAAAATGGGAAAATCAATAAGTGGGTGGTCACTGAACTAAAAAATATGAGAAGCACAGGCTTGAGGAAGTGCTTGCAGGGGAGCAACCAAACATGAGCCACACATCCTTGTAAATTTCAGGCAGGATACTAGATCAAGGTGGGAGCGAGTATGATCCCAAAAATCAGAGGATTGATTTAAAATGTGTATAAAGAGCAGCTAAACCTTTATAGGCATTGTCCACCAGCCCAACCAAAATGGCCTTTGACTGCAGACAGTCAGAACAGGCACTTTGAGGATAGCTTGTGGTTATCATTTAACCCCTAAGTCGTCTAAGAGGCCACACTAAAAACTAGCGATATTAAGTAAAAGAAGAATCTATGTACTGAAGAGTGAGACTCCCACTCGCACCTGGCTGGTAGCCAAGTTGCACCATGTCTCAGACAGCAGATTGGAGAACCCCTGCCTAGTTTAACTGACAGGTTATGGGCAGTTCTGAGCCAGCTCTGAACCATCTAGTCCCTGCGCTGTGAAGAAGTCCTCCCACCACCATGTTGTACACATGGACACAGAACTTCCGGTTAGTTTGTTGTTGTTATCCCTGTTTCTTAAGTATGAATAGCTAACCAAGGACCACCAGATGTATGAAGACCTGTAACATAAGAACAGAGACAAAGCAAATAAAAAACTGTACACTTGAAAGAGACAGAGACAAGAAGACATATGAAGAAAATGTAGATGGAAAAAGATATTTCATGCTTAAAATAAGAGCAAGATGTTTCTTAAAAAGATACCTTCAAGGAACAACACACAATACCTTGGAAGTTTAAAATATGAGAGCAAAAGTTAGAGATGCACTCAAATGTTTGGAAGAGAAAAGAAATCTCCCCTGAAAGTAATGAGAAGACAGATAGAAAATTGGAGAGAAAAGATGAGAAAACTGTAGGTTAACTCAGAGCGTAACGATATTCAGGAATGAATGAAAGTTTTATAAAGAGAAGTGGAGGAGTGGAAGTTCCAGAGCATGTGTGCTCATTCGTGTTGCAAGAATACTGGAGTCGGTCGCCATTCCTCAGTTGGTAAAGAATCTGCCTGCCGGGCAGGAGACCTGGGTTGGATCCCCGGGTCAGGAAGAGCCCCTGGAGAAGGAAATGGTGATCTACTCTTGTATTTTTGCCTGGAAAATCCCATGGACAGAGGAGCCTGGTGGGCTGCAGTCCGTGGGGTCGCAGAGTCAGCCACGACCGAGCACACACACCATGCCATAGGGGAATGAAAGTGGGGGGAAGGGTTGTTATCCAAGAAACAATGCAAATAATTTTTATAAATGTCCAGATTGAAAGCACCTATAACAATAAAGGAAAAACACTTATACCAAGGCAATTACCATGAATTCAAATTCTGGAGTTCAAAGGAAAATCCCAATAACTCCAGAGAGAAGAAACTGGTCACAGGGTTTAAAATGGTACAGGATTCTTGAGGAAAACATTGAAAATGATGTTTTCAACATCCCTAGGGAGAAAACCTCAAGCCAGGATTTTATACCAGGTAAACTGTAAACCATGTATGAAAGGAAAATAGGAATATTTTCAGATGTCCAAGGTCTTAAAATTGTTACATCCCTTACACTTTCTCAGAAACCTATTAGATAATGTTTTCCACAAAGAGTAAGAACAAAAAGGAAAGCGGGAGATATGATACCCAGCGAGTAAGTAATTGAATGGAAGAAAGAAGCAAAACAAGTTTCCAAGGAGAATAGTGAGTGAAAATTTCAAGGAAGCAGCCATGCAGCAGACATGGAGAGTTCCTAGTTCAGACTGCAGGTGGAGAATCAATGGTGACAGGGGACGCAGCTCAAAGACAAAAATGAAACCCTCTGATGTGTATGAGTATATTCAGAAGACATCACCCTACTGGTAGAGAATTTGGTGATGATTCAAGGGAAATGAAAACGAATCAAATATAGAATGAGGGGGATTTCCCTGTTGGTCCAGTGGTTAAGATTCCACCTTCTAATGCAGGGGACACAGGTTCAATCCCTGGTCAGGAAACTAAGATCCCACATGCTGCAAGTCAACTAAGCCCATGGGCCACAACTACTCAACCCATGCACTGTAACTAAGACCTGATGCAACCAAAAATAAATCAATTAATATTTTTAATATACATAAAATGAGGCAATTATTTAATCTAGGAAAAATTAAAAGTGATATAAAAAAGGAAAAATAGCATGGTTCAGCTGAAATATAAAAAATATTTACATAGTCACAGGAATAGTGACTATGATTTTACAGTAGGAAGGCAATATGTTTATTACATAACACTAAAGTATCAAAAACTAAAAGGACAAACATTTACTTAGAAATATGGAAGCAAAGAGCAGAAGAGCAAAATGAGTTGGGAGTGGCCACCTCTGAGGAGCAGTAACATGAGCAATGTTGAAGGGGTGGAGGACAACACTTTTTCAAAATAATTTTACTTTTTGCAACTTTGTACTCATTAATGTGGTAAAAGTTAAAATAAAAATCAACCTGGAGACTAGTCTATCTCTTGGTTACCTATAATTAAACAAAAACTATAACTGTACAGAATAACTTATAATTAAACAGAAATAACTGGGGAAAAAATTGTCCCTAGAAAGGAGTAATCCCAAATTTTTCCAGGTCCTAAGAAATTTCATCAATTTCTAACATAATTCCACAATAAGGGAACAGACTGTGTGATCTTAGGCCATGAAATTTTTGCACCTTGTTTGATGTCCCTGGCTACGTTCCAGTGTCCCCCAGTTTACAGCCTATGGAAATTTGAATAGAATTTGTATCCTACTATTGTGTGGAAACAGTGTCAGACTTTATTTTTCTAGGCTCCAAAATCACTGCAGATGGTGATTGCAGCCTTGAAATTAAAAGACGCTTACTGCTTAGAAGGAAAGTTATGACCAACCTAGACAGCATTTTAAAAAGCAGAGACATTACTTTGCCAACAAAGTCCGTCTAGTGAAGGCTATGGTTTTTCCAGTGGTCATGTATGGATGTGAGAGTTGGACTGCAAAGAAGGTTGAGCACTGAAGAATTGATGCTTTTGAACCGTGGTGTTGGAGAAGACTCTTGAGAGCACCTTGGACTGCAAGGAGATCCAACCAGCCCATCCTAAAGGAATCAGTCCTGAGTGTTCATTGGAAGGACTGATGCTGAAGCTGAAACTCCAATACTTTGGCACCTGATGCAAAGAGTTGACTCTTTGGAAAAGACCCTGCTGCTGGGAGGGATTGGGGGCAGAAGGAGAAGGGGACGACAGAGGATGAGATGGCTGGATGGCATCACTGACTTGATGGACATGAGTTTGTGTAAACTCAGGGAGTTGGTGATGGACAGGGAGGCCTGGCGTGCTGCAATTCATGGGGTCGCAAAGAGTCAGACCCAACTGAGTGACTGAACTGAACTGATTGTGTGAAAATTGTATAAATTTAATTATGTTGAATTGGTTCACTATATCCTTCTACTTCTCTGTATATTCATTCTATTAATTTTTGAGACTTTGATATTGAAACTCCAACAAAGATCTCAATTTATCTACTTAAAAAAATAATTATAATATATAGTAACCTTGTTCTGTATTTTCCAAGTCTCTGATAAATGTGTTATCATAGTTGTATAATTTTAAAAAATTAAAATTAAAAAAAGAATCTTCATCAGACTCAACTCCACTCAACTCTGTTCCAAATCTCTGTTTCATAAATTGACATGTTAAATGGAAGTCAGACAGCCAAGAGTGTAGAAGAGGCAAGTAGGACAGAATCTGCACCTATAGTTCTTCTTGCAGTTCTTATGACAGTTCTCATGACAGTTCTCTGTGCCTTTAGGAAGCACTTTTCCTAGAAAGGAAATCCAAGCTTATTTCCTGCAGCTGAAAATTGCACCTAAAAAGTCGTCGGAAGCTGCAATACTTACCGGCCCATGAGGAAGTGAGGTAGTGATTGTAAGAAACACCCTAGGCCCATAACCACACATCCAACACCAATCATTATTGGTCTATGCAGTTTTGGTCCAAAATAACTCACGAATATAATCAACAAAAGATTTCCTAGAAAAAAAATTGATGTGAGAAATGAATATTTCAATAATTATGATCAAAGTCTGAATTAACAGCCTCACCCAATCATTAACTATCCAGCATTCATTGTATAATAAATATCTCAAATACTGGAATTGGTGCTAGAGGTGCACAAAATAATAAGTGATTAAAACACAACTCCTGCCATGAAGGAGGGCTCTGTTTTACAATATGTTTCAACAAAGGTTCTTGACCTGCAATCTATAAACCCTGAAATAGTCCATGAATAGAAATCAGGTGTTCCATGAACTTGAGTGACAAAAATAAAATTGCATCTTTATTTTCACTAAATTAACTAAACATTAGTATTTCTTTTGACAATGTAAGCAGATGCAAACTTCAGTAGTATTGGAAGCATGTACAATTTTGTCACCAACTATCACCAACAGAAGTTACAGGTATTTGCATATGACATTACAGTTGATGCAGATGCCTCAAAATATTATTGACACTGATGATTACTTCAAAACTGGTGTAGATATTGTTATCTAATGTGTTGGTAAAAAATGCAAATATATTTTATTTTTAATATTTTGATAAATTTATTTCAAAATAATTGGCTTCCTTTGTACTCTTGTAATTTTTAATTTATTCAATTAAAATGTTATTCTGAGAACATTTGGCATCAGATTGCCAAAGAGGTCCTTGACACAGAAATATTAATAACCCTGGCCAATCTCTTAGTGACTCTCTGTTACCTAGAGGATAAAAGATAAGTTTTGTAGTGAGCATACAAAGCTCTCCAGTAGCTTATTTCTCACTCCTGCCCATTTCTCCAGATTTATAATCTAGTAATTCCCACCTGAAGCTTGGCCAGTTGATAATACTGGGCTTAACGTTGCTCTACACATGAGCTACCATACTGCTTCATCCTTATGCTTCTTCTTCGGAAATTCTCTTCAAACTTACCAACCCTGTTTCTTCATCTAGAAAACCTTTACGTCAAGAGCCTATCTTCATTAAGGGAGGTTGTGTCCCTACTCTGTGTTCCTATAGGAACTGTCATATACCTATGTCACCAAACTTACTGCGTTCAATTAAATTATTTTGCATCTATGCCCTTCATTAGACTGTGAGCTGGGTTTTCAAAGGGCCTATAGAAGGAGTGATTTCTGGCTCCGCGGCCAGGATCTGTCACACGTGTGATGCTGAATGAGGTCTGACAGGATGGAAGACTAGGAGACAAGATCAAGCATCACTGGTTTCAGTTTTGCCTCTCTCCAATTCTAACTTTTCTGTCAGATACTGATTAAAAGTATTAAAGGCAACTTTCCTCTTAAAGGAAGTAAAATCCACTCTAAAACTACAGGAGTAGCTTTTGTAGTTCCCTGCCACTTTGCTCACAGGAGAAATCTTTCCCTTCCTCATTCTTTCTCTCTGGCCTCACATCTTCCCAATCAGCCACAAATACCAGAGCCCAAGAATAGACTTTGTGCTTCCCTACAGGCTGTTTCTAAAATAAAGTCAATGAGACACGAAAACAGTTTCTTCTTCCCACTTAGGAAAGAGAATTGTCAACCTCCCAGAAACAACAGGAGAAGAAAAATATTTGCTTTTAAAAAAAAAAATGAATTCCCTTTTCCCCCTTGATGTCTTCTAAACATGAAGATAAAGCCCTAAAGGTCATTAAGTGATAGATTAAATATTAGTACTCTGAACACTCTGCTGCTCATGCTAGCTGACCAAAAGACTATTAGATTTTTAAAAATTTAACCATTAGAATAAAAAGACCCGTGATTGGATATGTGGCAATGTTTAAGTGTTATTTGGGGGTAATATTTAAATGAATTCTTTCTAAATATATTCCAAAGTGAGCCAGGTTATTTAAGCCATTTTAGAAAATACATGCAGTCAGGTTGAATGATGTAAAGCAGAAAATAAGGAAAGTAAAATTCAGACTAGCTCCATAGACAATACATACAAAGAAGCAATGCAAAAACAATTCATTACCAATCTCAAAACTTCCATTGATAAATCCAACTAGAGATGTTGGGATGTTGAATTGTCTTTCTATTTGTGTGAGCATGGTATTCATATAAGATCCGGATAGTGTTTTGGATACAAATGCACATGTTATTGCCAACAGAAACATCTAGGAAGAAAAAAAGTACAAGAAAACACGAAAATTTTATTTTTAAATTGTATATTTGCCACTTGTTGATAAAATATCTTCTACCAAAATACTGGTTGTTTCCAGTTCAAGTAACTCTTATGTTTGACAGAACCTTTTAAAGTGAACTCTTATTGTTTTCTATGCTATGTTCTCACTTTAAAAATTCAAAGTTGAACTAATTGACTAGTGATATTGAATTTTGCAGGTCATTGGTAGCCTCATTATTTTATGGAAATGTTTTATACATACATAGAAACAAGTTATCATTCTAAATAAGACATAGCAAATGATTTAAATAGATTTTCAGCATTACAATGCTATGGTAGAACAAAAGAATACATTCATGTTAATTTTTTTAAAAGAATGTAGCATTACACAAAGGCATTATTTCTGTAGCAAATTTGCTTAAGTTCTCTTTTAGGCAAAGCTATATGCAATGTATACAGCAGTATTTTGCTATTTGCTGCCAGTTAATTTATTTAAAGCAATATTTTAATTATAAACAATAACAGAAATATTTCTAAACTGAACAGATACTTTCTAAGATAAACAAATATGAATACAATATTCCACATATTGAATCACATTTCCTATGTATTGGTATAACTCCAGACAGCTGTCAGGCTGACATAATCCATAACAAAAATCAAGGACAACTTAACAGATAGAATCATTGTGATCAGTAGGAATGAGCATGGTTAAATATGAAAGGTTAACATTTTGATAGTTTTATTAAATCAGAAAGAAAAATATTTAGATCTTAGAAAGGGATTTGAAAAAGGAGCATTGTATACTGGGTAATCATAAGTTAGGTAGATTAATTACTGCTTCAAAATCAACAAATTAGGGATAAATATGTTTATGTCAACCTGAATGGTGGTCTCCAATCTTATACCACGGGGCTTTTTCCTTGACCTCCTTAAAAGTATTTCCTGATGACACTTCCATCCTGAAAGACCATTCAATTCACTGTCCAGCTAGTACACACATACACTAAAATCCTTACCCCTCCAATTTCTCAATCTTGAACCAAACCCATAATTTATACACTCCATTCAAGAGGGAGGGCTCCAACTCAGCCATGTGCTCCTCTTGATCAGAAAATGGTCTCAGCATCTTCACCTTCAAATTTACCTCTCCCTGCCACTCTAATTTTCCTTCCACTTTTAAAAGGATGGATCCCTCCCCCTATATAAGAAAATCTATCCATCCATGCTCTGGAACCCATTCTTTCCATTGCTGAAATCCTAATTCATCAATTACTAACCCCCTCCTCTATTTTCAACCTCATACTCTTTACTACCTCCCTCTCTACTAACTTATAAATATATGCAAGGTATTTCTGTCCTAAAAAATCTTCTTTCTGCCCTGGTGCAGGTACTATCAAGCTGTTTGGAAGAACAGTCTAGATTCATTGCCTACGCAAACCTTCCACTCACCCTTCAGTCTATTACAGTCTAGCTCCTCCTGAAGCTACTCTGTAAAAGGTCATTAATAACTTCCTGATTTCCACATCCAATAGGCACTTCTCGGTCCTCAGCTAACTTGATGTCTCAGAGTCATTTAGCATCATCAATCTCTCTTTCCTTCCTAAAATTTCCTCTCCAATGTATATTTATGTCTCTGCCTACCTGCTAGACTCTGTATTCAGTCATCTCTTCTTTGGCCAACTTCTTCAGGCATTTGTCTCATACCCTCTAGTTTTCGCCTGATATCTTCTTTCTAGTAATTCTCATATTTCTATAGCTTTAACTACCACCCAGATGCTGAAATCTCTCAAATTGATACACAGTTTAGCTTAGACAATTGCAATCATTTTTTTTTGTCTCCTCTACTCTTTCCGACTTCCAATCTCCCTTCTACCTGCCACCACCACTAACTTGGAGCATGATAATTATTCATCCAATTAATGAATAAAATTCATAATTAGCATGTGATTCCACTTTCTGAAACTTTTCAGTGGATTCCAATTAACAAAAACCCCTACTTTTTACATGCAAACAAAGCCTCATTTATATCTCACTATCATCTCCTGCCCCTTGTCCCCAAGCATAATATTCTATTTATAGTTCTTTTAATTCATCATGCTACTTTACATTTCAGTGACTTTTACAGGTGGTCCTCCACTTGTAGTGTTTTCTTCACTTTGTGCATCTGATAAATGTATGCTCAATATTTAAAATTCACTATACCATTATTTCTATTGTGTAGTCTTCCTTGTCTTTCTAATTCCCAGGTATCCTCCTTATCTTTCCACTCTGCTGTGTTCCTGCCTCTGTTACAGCCCTCAGCACTTTCCTTGACCTCCTTAAAAGTATTTCCTGATGACACTTCCATCCTGAAAGACCATTCAATTCACTGTCCAGCTAGTACACACATACACTAAAATCCTTACCCCTCCAATTTCTCAATCTTGAACCAACCCCATAATTTATACACTCCTTTCAAGAGGGAGGGCTCCAACTCAGCCATGTGCTCCTCTTGATCAGAAAATGGTCTCAGCATCTTCACCTTCAAATTTACCTCTCCCTGCCACTCTAATTTTCCTTCCACTTTTAAAAGGATGGATCCCTCCCCCTATATAAGAAAATCTATCCATCCATGCTCTGGAACCCATTCTTTCCATTGCTGAAATCCTAATTCATCAATTACTAACCCCCTCCTCTATTTTCAACCTCATACTCTTTACTACCTCCCTCTCTACTAACTTATAAATATATGCAAGGTATTTCTGTCCTAAAAAATCTTCTTTCTGCCCTGGTGCAAGTACTATCAAGCTGTTTGGAAGAACAGTCTAGATTCATTGCCTACGCAAACCTTCCACTCACCCTTCAGTCTATTACAGTCTAGCTCCTCCTGAAGCTACTCTGTAAAAGGTCATTAATAACTTCCTGATTTCCACATCCAATACGTACTTCTCGGTCCTCAGCTAACTTGATGTCTCAGAGTCATTTAGCATCATCAATCTCTCTTTCCTTCCTAAAATTTCCTCTCCCAATGCATATTTATGTCTCTGCCTACCTGCTAGACTCTGTATTCAGTCATCTCTTCTTTGGCCAACTTCTTCAGGCATTTGTCTCATACCCTCTAGTTTTCGCCTGATATCTTCTTTCTAGTAATTCTCATATTTCTATAGCTTTAACTACCACCCAGATGCTGAAATCTCTCAAATTGATACACAGTTTAGCTTAGACAATTGCAATCATTTTTTTTGTCTCCTCTACTCTTTCCGACTTCCAATCTCCCTTCTACCTGCCACCACCACTAACTTGGAGCATGATAATTATTCATCCAATTAATGAATAAAATTCATAATTAGCATGTGATTCCACTTTCTGAAACTTTTCAGTGGATTCCAATTAACAAAAACCCCTACTTTTTACATGCAAACAAAGCCTCATTTATATCTCACTATCATCTCCTGCCCCTTGTCCCCAAGCATAATATTCTATTTATAGTTCTTTTAATTCATCATGCTACTTTACATCTCAGTGACTTTTACAGGTGGTCCTCCACTTGTAGTGTTTTCTTCACTTTGTGCATCTGATAAATGTATGCTCAATATTTAAAATTCACTATACCATTATTTCTATTGTGTAGTCTTCCTTGTCTTTCTAATTCCCAGGTATCCTCCTTATCTTTCCACTCTGCTGTGTTCCTGCCTCTGTTACAGCCCTCAGCACAGTGCACTTTATTATTTTTAAGGGACTTTATTTTTTTATTGGCCATGCCACACAGCTCAAGGATCTTAGTCCCCTGCAAAGGAAGCCAGAGTCCTAACCACTTAACTTCCAGGGAATTCCCCACAGTACACTTTACTTATGTGTTTGGATGCCTATAACCTCCTACTTCACTGTCCTGTGAGCATCTCAATGATAGGAGCCATATATTATTTACCTTTGTGTCTTCAGTCTCACAAACAATAGGTTCTCAGTGCAATTTATTGGATAAATGAAAGAATCAGTATTCAAAAACATCTTGAAAAAGTAGTCAGTTCTGAAAGTAAGCTGTCTATAGATGAAATTCAATAGGATTAACTACATCTAAGCCAAAAGTTACCTCACCAATTAATTTGGGGAAATCTGAATATAAATATATGTGGAAAAGACTTGGGAAATTTAAATATCAAGCTCAATATAAGTCAAAATGCATATTGTCATATGACTGACTATATAGCATAGTTATATCTCTAGCTATTTGTCCTTTTATAATAAATCCCATTTATAAAAACCATGTCTGGCAACTCCTTGTAAATCTTTGCAGAGCACACTGTAAATACTTTCACATGATTTTATAATTCAGATTTTATATTTAAAAACAAGCAAAGCCAACGAAGCACAGTACAAATCATATTTTAAGGAATAATTTCTTTTATTTAACATTTTAAGAAAGGAAACTAGATAAATCATGATCCCACTTTCCTTTTCCTGAAACATCTAGGTAGCCACTGTCTAACTAGTGGCTATTCTTACCCGTGTTTAGTACAAAATAACCTTGATATTTATAAAGCTAGTCCTATCAGCTCTCAATAATGCCCCAGCCTTTGAAGCAAACTTGTTGAAGAGAGTCCTTTATTACTTTCGAAAAATGCTTGCTTGATGAGCAGATTTCTAAGGTGAGAGAATCAGAGAAACCCAGACGACTTATTAAGCAACTGTCTTTTACCTGATAAACTTGTGCTTGCAATACGTGGCTGTCACATTCAGATCAATATCTAATCCTGCCAAACTCCAACATTACAAAAAAGTAAAAGCCAATTGTTAATATATAATTCTTGACTTTTATCCACAAATGCTCTTAATAATAACTAGTATTTATTGAAAGCTTACAATATTCCAGTCATTGTTCAGAGCATGTAAAAAGAAAAAAAAAATTCTATGAGATAAGAGTAAATTATCATTATCTCTTTCAGAGGAGAAAACTGGACTACAAAGGGGTTAAGCAACTTATCCAAGGGCACACAGCAAACCAGCAGTTGAACTCAGCACAAATCTAGGAAGCCTGGTCCTCAAGCTTTATTTTTAAATCCTCGGTTTTAGGAGATGGACATCAGAATTAAGGAAAAATTTAAGGGGATTTTTAAAATACATAGTTAATGTAGCATTTCAGGCAAAAGTAGTTTTCTAACTTTATATCATGATTCTCAACTTTCCTGTACATATGTAGATTTTTGCTACACACATATAAAGAGAAAACAAACTTTTGATAGGAAGAAAATTGGTGACAGTGTCATAGTTTGATAGCCACTTACAGGCACTAGCTGTAGAATCAAGACAAGTATCCAGATCTTCGGGTCTAAAATAAATTCAAATTTTGCTTGAAGGCAAAATGGTTTTATGGCTATGCAAAAAGAATTGCTCTGAAGTAGTTAAGAGTACCCAAAACAGCTAGCAAAATGGGCATTTTTCTTATAGAGAATGACTGGTATGTTGCCAAAGCTTGAAGTAAGCATTTGTTTTAGTGGGTCATTGTGAAGTCATCACTGAATACAGATTAACAAAGCTTTTCTGTCCAATGTACCATTTTTCCAGGAGCGATCTCCATACTCCTCTCACCAGAAGGGTGAACGTTAAATAGGCCTTTAATCCAGGAAAGTTCGGAGAAGGCAATGGCACCCCACTCCAGTACTCTTTCCTAAAAACTCCCATGGACAGAGGAGCCTGGTGGGCTGCAGTCCATGGGGTCGCTACGAGTCGGACAAGACTGAGTGACTTCACTTTCACTTTTCACTTTCTTGCATTGGAGAAGGAAATGGCAACCCACTCCAGTGTTCTTGCCTGGAGAATCCCAGGGACGGCGGAGCCCGGTGGGCTGCCGTCTCTGGGGTCGCACAGAGTCGGACATGACTGAAGCTACTTAGCAGCAGTAGCCAGGAAAGTAAATCGTACTGTATTATGTGTGCTTGAAAATGTTTAAGATCCTGTCTCCCATTTAAATCCTTCAAAGCTATTCTGATTAAATTTCCTGAATCAATAATCCTATTTAGACACACTCTCAGTTACAAACCAATTTCATTAAAGTAAGAAATTATCAATATATCAGGTAGTATGATGTTATCAGATTAGTGCATGAAGATATAAACAACTTTACAAGATCTAGGTTTAAAAAGAAAATACAGTACATATACATATATCCACACAAAGCAAGTCCATACCTTCAACTTGGAAAGACATCTTATTCTATGAGTTTCAATTCTTTCCTCAGTTTCTCCCATGTTGTTCTTCTGAATAGTCCAAGATATTTATGTTCTAGATCTTGATATTTCTTAATTCTAGTCTTTTAAGAAGACAAAAATCTATTAAATTACTGACAGTCATAAAACATCATTCCTGGGAAGAAAACACTGAATCTGAGTAACAGAATCAAGAATCCATTGTGTAACAAAAATACCTAGGAAGCTTCTGATTCAGATCCGGAAAGTAATGACCTTAGAGAAGATTTAGTTGTTAGTTTTCCATTGAAAAAGTTACATCAAATCATTTCAGTTACTCTTTAGTGAGATTAAAGATTAAAATAATTTGTTATGTTCTTGTAAAATAATAATCATATGGCTAAAACAAAACTTTTCACTTCTTTAGCCAAAATAAATAAAACCACAATGAGCTCCCTGGACTTACATGAAAATGCTGCTTTTAGGAACACACGGACTTTGATTTGTGTGCTAAGTATCTGGTTTAGCAAGCCTACAAAGACTCAAAAATCTCGTTTGGCCAGGCTCCCTCTTCAAGTTCTTTGGATTCCAAGACTTCCCTGGAGTCTCAAGAAGGGAAACACTTTCTGGGGCACTGCTGATTCACGGAAACCTGGGGAGACATGGAATTTTAATCATGGAAATAGCCTAAGTAAAAACAACAAATAATTCTTTGATCTGGAAAGGAATCTTACAGCTGCCAGTTAAGAAGTGAGATCTAGGAGAAGACCAAACAAAGGTGGTGATCTATACATATACATATATATTAAATACAGATATATGTGTGTCTAGGTATATATACACAGTATATAGATACATGCTTTTATATGTAAAATAAAAAGATGGCATAGTCATTTAAATTCTACTAATGAGTTGTCAAAGATTTTGCCTACTTCCTTTCTTGAAACCAGGGCAATATTTTGTAACAAAACCAAACTATTTCACTCTGACAATATTTATTCTAGTAAATTTATTTCAAGCTGTCAGATGCTATCATAACAGTATCCCCAGGATTAATTGACTAAAATCTTCTGAAACATATCCATTTAACAATATCCATACTGGCCTTAATTTTTAAAAACCTGAATCTAATTCCCTACACACATTAACGCAATAGCCACTGAAAAATTATATATGAATTTAATTATCTTTAGTCCTTCTTTTATGAAAACAACAAATATGTATCAAAAGTCTACTCTATGCCAATCATTGTGTTAAGCACAGGATTCCAGCTGAGAACAGGACAGATAAGTTGCCCTAAAGACAATAAATATATATCACTAGAGAAGAATAAAGTTCTGTGGATGGTACTTGAACCCAGATCCCAAGGAACTTATATTTCTCTTGGGAAAGGTAAAACTCTTCAATAAAATATATTGGAATAGAACTGGACAGTGTTTGATCAAATACAAAGCGTTTGGTATGTAAGTGGTAAAAAAAATTCATAGGTCACAAGTGAAAAGTATTCGAGACCAAACTTAGCACTTCTGAATGACAATACAAATGAATTCACACTGAAATCCCTCCCATAAAATTCCAAATCACCTTAAGTACAGTGCAAGTACATGACACTAGTTTTAGAAAAACCCATAGACAGGGATGATTTATCAAAAGACTAGGAACTCCTCTTCTTTGGTCTTCATCCATTTGGATGCAATGCAGGAAATGCAAGAGACCCAGGCTCTATCCTGGATTGGGAAGATCCCCTGGAGAAGGAAATGGCAACCCACTCACTCCAGTATTCTTGCCTGGAGAATCCCATGGACAGAGGAGACTGGCGGGCTATAGTCCAAGGGGTCGCAAAGAGTCAGACTGAGCGATTGAGCACACACAGTCCTTATCTGGTTTTATCATAAACTTATCTGCCCTCATTTTTTCCTTCTCATCCATTTCTAAATCCCTCTCTCCTATGCTTTTTTTCCCTTTTTTCCCCATCCTTGCTTGCTTATATTTCAATGTATTAGAGCTCAATATAACCACCTAACTAAACAATAAGAGGGAGAGAACTTATTCCTCTTGGCATCAAAGTTGTACTCTTGCATCTTGGTGGCTAAAATCATGACTATTCTATATGCCCATTTTCCCCATATTGCTGCAGAGGCATAGAAGTTGGAGTTGGTAAGAGAAAATCCCTGCCCTGGGGAATTCTGTGTTTCCTTATAAGCACTGTGATACTGTGCAGGTTTTATCATCATGCCTCAAGGATTTGTTACAAAATGTGTTTCCAGCCTTGAAAGAAGTTTTTAAACAATTGTCTTAACTGGGACAAAATGCAATGTTTAAAGCTAAGGATTTGGAAAGAATTAAACATGATTCAATTAGCACTAGTGTTAACCCTCAGTCGTGTCCAACTCTCTGAGATCTCATGGACTGTAGCCCACCAGGCTTCTCTGTCCGTGGAATTCTCCAGGCAAGAATACTGGAATGGGTAGCCATTCCCTTCTCCAGGGGATCTTCCCAACCCAAGGATCAAACCCATGTCTCCTGCATTGCAGGCAGATTCTTTACCATCTTAGCCACCAGAGAAGCCCTCAGTTAGCACTAAACTTTCCCAAATTTGCCAACTTATACAGTGAAAACATTTCAGCTTTTCAGACACTTTGGGAAAATTTTAGTGGAAATAAGTAAATACGTTTTATTCTTCTTATCTTACAAAATTAATTAATGTCACCATCACTGCTGAGCACTTTGGCCCTAAATCAGAGACTACACATGATTTTTCCTTCATATCCTGAAGACCAGACTAGAGCCAGCCTTATGAACCCTTTTGTCATCACAGCTCTGTCCACATGGTGATTTCTGCTTCTAGGACTGCAGCATCACTGACCCAATCCCCATCAATCATCACTGCTGATGAAAATGCCTTGCAGCAGTTTTATTAAGTAAAGAATCAGTTTATTTCTCTAACTCCTTCTAAGCATTCAAACGGGAGCAGGTAATTCTGCAGCATGAATGTAGTTGAATTTTTTCCATGTCTACTGGTCACAACTCTGCCTTTTGTGTCTTTTTGTTTTCGTTCTAATTGTGGTAAAATCACATTACGGAATTGTTCACTCCAGAACAATTAGCACGTGTTTGGTTAGTGAATTTCTAGAAATTTTTCATCTTATGTGATTGAAAGTCTATACCCATGAAACAACAACACTCAGGTTTTTGACACCCCTTGGTATCTAGCCCATAATGATGCATCTCAACCATAAAAGAATACAATTTTTTTTTAAGAATACAATTTTTTATAAAATAAGGAAATGGTCTTATTGAGCTCTTTTCCCAATGATAAATACACAAACATAGCTTCTATTGTTACAAACTACCTGGGGAAATGCATACATTTAATTTTCTATTATTCTACACTATTGAATCAACATAATAAAAGCTTTACTTTATCATGACAAAACTAATAGTACATACATGAAGAAGATTTAGGAGAACATCCTTTCCCTGGGAAAAAAGACAGGGTCACATCAACAAAAATCTTATAAAACTTGTTTATTTCCAGAATCTTCAAATGGCTCCTTGCTCTGCAAAAAAGAGAACAGCCTCTTGGTGGTATCAGCTGAAATCATATCAGCGAATACCAAACCAGGCAAGTACATGCCAAAGAAGCGCAAGGAGAGTCAACAACAGCCCTTTGTTTGATGCCTACCAAATTATCTTGCTTCTATTAGTTCCTTTTCATCAGAAATCAAAGAATAAGACAATGGATTCTGAAATCAGCCTTACAAATAGAGGCATTATTTTAAGTGCAAACTCAGAGGAGGTATCAGGAATGCATCACTCTGCTAACACTAAGGGAAAAACTTAATCAGGCAATAGACTTGCACATATGATTTTACTATGCAAAGCAAAGAATGGAGCACTCAGAAATATAAGTAAAAACCATCATCAGTAGTCCAGCAATAGACATACCTACCCCAGTTACTTTGGATACCCAGTTACTTTACTGTCTAGTGCTAGATAATATGGGCTTCCCAGGTGGTGCTAGTGGTACAGAAACCACGTGCCAAAGCAGGAGACACCAAAGATGCAGATTAAATCCCTGGGTTGGGACGATCCCCTGGAGGAGGGCATGGTAACCCACTCCAGTATTCTTGCCTGGAGAATCCCAAGGACAGAGGAGCCTGGCAGGCTGCAGTCCATGGGGTTGCAAAAAGTCAGACACAACTGAAGTGATTTAGCATGCACACACATTGGATAATAAACCAAGACCTGGAAAAGTAAAGCTAAAATCTGTCTTCGAAGTCTTTAGGAGAGCTGGTTGTGAATATCATCAGTGTTACATTTCATGCCAAGTAACTCTAGGGAATGATTAGATAATTATGGGAGTAGCCAATGTTTTTTCACATCAGCAACTTAAACTGTTTCATTTTTCATATTTTTATCCCAATTTCCCTTTCTTTTGCCTTCATAGGCATAGTTTTAGATACAAAAACTTGTTCTTTTATCTAATTATTGCAAGAAAACACCAAACTCCTCCTTTTTCTCATAGAGATAAGACTTCATCTATTTATGAAGCTCCTCTAAAAACTGTAAATCCAATAATATGCTTAGATTTTTTTCCAACCCAATTATTTATATATTTGTTTATTCACATTAATGGAAGCAGCCAGATATAATCAGACTTTAATTCTAGTTTAGTTGTGAATTGTTTAAACTCTGAGTCTATTTTCCCTTATCTATGATACTGGAATATTTATACCTACCTTGCAAGATTGTTATGAAAATTGAGTTATAAAATTTGTGTAAGACCCCTAGCTGACTTACTAGAATGAATAATCACTCTGTAAACAGTAGTGGTTATTATTCATTCATTCCACAAATATTTATTAAGGCTCTACTACATTCCAAGCACAGTAGTTGGTGCTAGGAGTACAAAAGTTAAATACAGTAAGTGCTTACTCTCAAGCAGTATCACAAGCTATGGGAGAGATAGACAGTTAAATGTTAATAATAGTTGTTTAGTGCTATCATGCAGACAATTTGAGCCAAGTAATAAAAATAAGCAATGCATGAAAATTGTTTATTTGCACATTCATTCGGAATATCCTTTGCATACAGCATAGTCATTTTACTTGGGCTTTGAAATGAAGCACAACTGGTTTGAAAGCCTGTTTTTAAGCTAGCTGTGTGATGTTGTACAAATCGCTTAATTCACCCATACAATGAAGATCATCTCTATCTTTTTATCAGTCAAGGTTCAGACAAAAGAATAGAACCCATGACAGGTAATTTAATAGAGGATTTAATTATGGGAAATTAGTTATATAAGCATCAGAAGAGTTAAAAAGCCAAACTTAGAAGAAAGTAGGCAACCCAGAGACTTATGTTAATGGCAAGTCTCTCTCACTCCTGGGACTACATCAGAGAGGGAAAAAGGCTGAGCTGCCAGGGACCGACGGCCACTGCCAGAGGCACCAGTTAACACAGGCAGCAAGGAGCAGAAGAAAGGTCTTTCTCCTCTACAATTCCGGTCTCACTCCAGTACCTCCCATCGACAGCCTAACTGGGAATCAGACGCAAGAGAACCTGGAAATTTTATCCAAAAAATTCATGCTCCTTCTTAGTTTATTAATTTAAAGTAAAATTAAGCTTCATAATGTACTTGCCAGGACTTCCCTGGTGGTCTAGTGATTGACAGTCTGCTTGCCAATACAACGGATACGGGTTCGATCCCTGGTTCAGGAAGATTCCATATGCCTCAGAGCGGCTAAGCCCATGTGCCACAACTCAAACCCACGCACCTAGAGTCCATGCTCCACAACAAGAGAAGCCACTGCAATGAGAAGCCCATGCACCGCAGCTAGAGAGGAGCCCCTGTTCGCAGCAACTAGAGGAAACTCATGTTTAGCAATGAAGACCCAGCACAGCCATAAGTTAATAAATAAAGTTTTTTAGAAAGTACTTGCCACATTTTTAATTATTATCCATGGATGACAAGTGTCTCTATTTGCAGTTGCCTTGTGATTTGCTCAAGCCTATCTGTTTTGAGCACCCTTTGGCCTCTGGCTAATTGCCTCTGTGTTCAAGCAATGGGAAATCTATACTGTACTTGTTTTTGGTTGCTTTTGATTTACAATGTTGTGTTGTTTGGTTTGGTTTTGGATTTTTTTCATTTGTTTTGTAAGTTTTTATATTTTCTTATTTGCTTTTTGCTAGAACACTAATTTTAGACTGGATCTAAGACATTCTCTTTCTATTCAGTAGAATCATGAAATCTGTTATAATTTTCCCTCCTATAATTAAACACTCTGTCCAGAGATAGCAATTAATAGCTGTACTGTTTAAACCTTGCTCACTTACTGTTGAGCTTGGTACACATTTGTACAATCTTTATATGTTCATGTAGATATTCTTGGCATGAGGAAGGATATGTGGGGTGCCTTAGAGAAAGCAAAGTTGTTAAAATCTGAGGAAATTCTGAGGTAAGAGGAAGTTGAAAGAATATGTGTAGAATGACTCCTACATTCTCACCAGAGAGGCAGAGCATCAAGGATGTGCTAGAAGACCTCAATAGAATGAAAAAAGTCAAAATAGTCATCACGGATATTAAAACAGGAAGTCAAATGGAAGTGATTAAAAAGATTGGTAAATAGCATTGCTTGCTAGACTGAGTCAGATTGGATCATAAGAAATATACAGATCATCAATATCATCATGATTTTTATGCCAGAAATATTCAATTTGAAAGACAAAAAAAAAAAAAAAGAGGGAGATATATAGATGCATGTGTTCACTCGGAATTTGGAATTGGTTGTTTTGATTCAGCAATGGGTTGAGAGAGTAAACGAATCTAAGAGACAAGTAAGTATAGAATTGAAATCATGGGCCACGAGGTTATTTTGAATATACAGAAGAAAGAAAGAATGAAGGAAGTGACAGATTAAAACCCCAGGAATGTTGTGTTATGAGTAATATGATACAGGTCAAAAGTTGACTAATTGAAAGTTTAGAGAGTTAGACAAATCAAACATTACTGGTTAAAGAAAAAAATATTGAAATGCATTTTCTAGTGGAAGATATCAGATAAGAAGTAAGTTTTTGAGGGGACTAGGCCACAGAACAGCCAGATATGTGGGTTGTTGACTAAAGTTGGAAATGAAAATAACTGTAATGGAAGAATACCCTTTCTAAAGCAAGGTCCGGGTTTGAACAGTTCACTCAAAGGGTGTGAAATTTTCTCAGACTAAGCAAAAGGCTTTCAAATACATTGTTCCTGAAAGTTTTCTGATACATTTATAATTAGCATTTGGCAAGACTATGAGTTCTTCTGCCTTTAAAAAAAAAAATCCCCATAGCCAACATTTCAAGACAATCTATAACTGTTTTTCTCTTCCTTTTATGACACACCCCTTACATATAAAGTTTCTTCAAGGTTTAATATTTGTCAAAGGTTAGGCAAGCATTCCTCTAGACTGTCTCTTGGAAACTTAGAAAACTGGTAGCACACACCAAGTGAAGTAGAAATTCCAGAACTTCCATAGGACATGATAGGAGAAGGGATCAAAAAGATCAAAGTGAGCAGGCTAGAGTGGACATATCACATAAGGCCAAAACCCCCAGCAGTCATCTGTTTCATAGGAGAGTCCAAAGGATGCTGTGTTCACCCAGCAATATGGAATTCATTGGTGGCATTGTTGAGAACCTCAGGGGTGGCTGCCCTCTGCAGGCTAGTGCTAACATTAAGGGATGCTACTAAAGAATAGGGCTCTCTCAGAATTCCCTGGAGGTCCAGTGGTTAGGACTCGACACTTTCACAGCAGAGGCTCAGGTTTGATCCTTGGTCAGGGATCTAAGATCCCACAAGCTGCAAAGCACAGCTGAAAAGAAAAAGAAACGGGAGAAATAACAGAGTTCTCTGAGAGCAGAGAGGAAAAGAAGATAAAAATCACAAAATAACAGAAGTCAGCTGGTAGCATTTAAAGATCAGAAGCAAAACAGGTACACTTATTGCAATGAGCATCAAGGCTGGGGTGGTAACCAACAGTATCTGAACTACAGAAAGTTAAAGTGAAAGAAAGTGAAAGTGAAGTCACTCAGTCGTGCCCGACTCTTTGCGACCCCATGGACTGGGCTCCCCCGTCCATGGGATTTTCTGGGCAAGGGTACTGGAATGGGTTGCCATTTTCTTCTGCAGAGGATCTTCCCAACCCAGGGATCGAACCCAGGTCTCCTGCATTGCAGGCAGACGCTTTACCCTCTGAGCCACTAGTGAAGCCCTATAGAAAGTTATGGGAATGGTTAATAGAACATGACAACCCTAGGTGCAAGATAAGTAGATGACCAACAAGGACATAACTCAACCTACACAACCAAAAGAAAACAAGGGTGGATAATCAGGAGGCTGAGAGATGCCATTTCTAATAAAATGTTACAATACCTTATTTAGTTACCCTACACGAGCTGTTTTTCAAGTTGGAAACCATTGACTGAAGGAGAGGACATGTCTGAGCAACTGAGCACTCATATAGGGAAGAGTAGACATTTACAGAGATAGCTAG